ATATTTTTATATTTTTTTTCACGCATAATAATGGTTATGTGTTATTACTAAATTCTTGACTGTTTTATTAGTATCTACGTTAAGGTAATAAAAAAAAAGTTTACGGTAAAGATAGATAAGGTCTTTTATATTTCTACAATATTCCTTTAATATTTTATTAGTTAATTAGAACTAATAACTGAAAAAAATATTTTATTGCAAGAAATAAGAAAAAGAGTTAGAAAAAAATTTTTAACTTTTAAACATTATAATTAATTTTTATATGCTAAATTTCGTGAAATTTTTTTTCTTTTCTTTAATTTCTACATGCATTTCTTATATTTTTCTCAAATGTTGTTATAAATTGTTTACAATTCGACATTTATTCCATTAATTTCAAAAAAGTATTTTTTACTTATGATTTTTCTCCCTTATATCTTTAATTTTAATTATTATTTCAATTTTTTTTTTTTTTTTTTACATATTCTTTATTCTATAATGTATATTATGTATGTTTTTATATTTTCATATAGTTAAATTTTTTTTTTCTTTATATATTTCAGTGTTAAGATATTGTCCTTTAGTATACAAGGTTTTTGGTGTTTAGTATTTTCACTTTGAGTTTAATTTTATAAAATATTTATTTCAGCACTAAGTCTCTTTATTCATCATTCTTTATGTTTTAGTGCTTTCTCTTAAAGCTTCTTAGCTATAGTTTTGAGATATTAGTGTTTGCTGTTTTATATTCAAGGTTTAATGTTAAGCATTCCTGTTTTACTTTGGATTGTTTAGGATTTACTGTGTACTTCTGAGATTTGAATGTTCATAATTTAAGATTTAAAGCTTTAGATTAAGAGGTTATTGTTCATTTTTTAGCAAACAGACTCTATTGTCCAATTTTTGCGTTTATGTTATTGTAATATTATATGGGTAGTTTAATGAGTAATTTTATAATTAATATATATTATTATAATATTAAATATAATTTATTTTGAATATGACTTTAAAAAACAAATAGTAGCACAAATACATATAGATACTTGCTTTAAATGTAAGTATATACATACTAAATTATAAAAACTAATTAATATTTAGTAATCTTCCAAGATATACACTACATAATTTGTTTGTTTTTTTAAATGCTAATAACTTGAATATATAATATAAACAAGTAATAATAGTAAACCTAAGTAAAAAATTAATTTTGTATATTTACTAAGAGCTATTTATTTAATTGAAATGAGTATTTAAACTCTTTCTTATTAAAAAAGTTATATACTAATTATACAATTAATCAATGTACCAAGAGTATTATAGTTAATTTTAATAAACGATTCATTTAAGATCTCATTACACGCTTACGTATAAATAGGATAATTAAAGAAAAAAAAAAAATTAGTATGTGTTATACCCATTTTATATGAACAATGCAGTGAATGTATGTCAGTTAGTTTCATTCAATCTTAAAAAATAAATATTAAATGTTTGTGTGCAAAAAAATCAGTTTTTACGATATAAAAATGAAGTATAATTAGATTTCTTCTATAAAATAAAGGAAAACTCACAAAGTCTACATTTTAATATTTGCTAATAAAAAAAAAAAAAAAAATTCTCCAATTATTATAAAATCATTTTTTCTAAAAATTATAGAACATTATAATTATTATAATAAAATATATTTTTAATCATACTACACATCTAATAATATAGAGAATCATCCTTATTTTTCAAAAATTCCACAAAGATATTACATAAATTTCATATATAATAAAATAGAAATTAAGCAATATGTATAAAATTTTTAGTTCTAATGAAATATATCTATTAATACGCTTATATTTTATAAATTTTATTAAAAACTATTATATATGAAATTTTAAATGTTCCATAAGAAAAATATACATTAATTGATATATTAAATACCGGTATTTATAATAATTTAAAATGAGAAATTAAATAAATAGGTTATTTTTTTATTTAACTAAAATGTGATATATTTTTCCTTGATAAATTTTAATAATTTAAATTTTAAAATCATAGTGTTAATATTTTTAATTAAGTTAACATTATATATTTTTTATCCCCAAAATTTTAATTATACATATTCAGAATGGAACAGAATATCTAATATTTTGAATTCGCGTTAAAATATATTTGGAATATTATTATTTTTTATCACATTTCTATATATACGTCAAATTCTGAATTCAATTTTCATGTTCAAATCATTTATTTTTAATATACATTATTATCTTAAAATTGCACTAAAATTAAAATGTGTGTTCTATCACAACAATATAATTTTACATAGTCGTTATATGAAATTATATTTCTTCTTATATTGAGAATATACTTATAAACTTATTATACTTAAAATTATTTTCTAAATTTATGGTTTTTGATAATACAACGAGGAAATTTTTGGAATAATTGAATCTAGACCGTCTAACTCATTTACATTGAACATGTATACTTATTTTATTTAATTTAATTCTGAATTTTTTTTTCATTATTAATAAAAAGATTTCTACAATATAATTATTTTACAATTCGTATGTTTCTCTTTTTAATTATATTTGTTTTGTCCTAGTTCAAAAATAATTGAGGCCTGAAATTTTATATTATACTTTCAAATAGGATTATAATAGATTATAATAATTTAAAAGAGAATACGGTTTATTAAATTATCTAAGCTTATGAAAAGTAGTGTTAAAACACTTTCATCAAAAAACTAAAATATCTAAAATCCAAAAATAGGCACTTAGGTAAAAAAAGTTCTGAAGTAATTAACTGTATACTTTTGAGTTCTTGAGTATATAAAAGATTAAATATAAATTATGTTTCTATTTATACTACTAATACTAACCATGTTTTTGGTGTGTTTCATATGTAATATAGTACTCTTACTGATTAAGACAAAAAGGAGCATTATTGCAATAAATATAATACCAAATCTTATCTTATTTCTCAAATTTAAATGTAAAAACTAAAGAATTATATCATTACTATGGAGTTTTTTATTACTATATAAATGCCTCTATTAGATAAGTTTCTGAATGCAAGAAATATAATAGGCATATTCAAAGAAATGTAGAATTTTACGAATGTTTTAAAATATAATGTACATTATCATATAAAAGAAAAAATCTCAAAATTTATAGTTAACGTAAGTAACACCATCCATGAATTATGTTCCATAGTATTGCACAACGTGCATCAGTATAATCTGAACAACATTCTGTAAAAAAAAACATACACAACGAGAAGATGCAATTATAGCAAAAAATGATTAATCCTTATAACATAAAGTCTCATCAAAAAACTGGCATATAAATTCGGATTGCAAAGAAATGGTTTTGTTTCCTTATAATGATACAGGTTTAAAGAGTCACATCTATAAACCTACAACAATGTTTCAGAAATTTTTTTTCATAACTATTGCAATATTTATAGATTTTAGGCTTTCATATAAAGTACATGATATTTTCATTATAGTGTTCTAGTTGTATTCATAATTAGGCCATAAATAATGCATAAATTATTAAGAATATTTTACATAATTCTTACATATCAATGTATATATCCATGAATATTCTGTTAAAAAATATATTCGGAATGCAAAACTATTCTTCAAATCATAGAAAACAAGGTAATAATATATTATTTAGCTATGCATTGGGACCGCATAATCTATATTATGAAATAGAAAAACATTATTTAATATATAAAAGTGATTAATTTTTTTTATATAAGAATAAATAATAATAAGTATAATCATCTCTTCTTAACAAATAATTATGTTCAAATTTTTTAAAATGTATTAGATAAACAAAAAATATGCGAGTGCTCTAAGGTGATGAAAACGTACTAACATATATAATAAGATTGAAAGGACATAATAAGTCAGTGCAGAATATATGAGCAGATATAATAAAAAGAATAATTATAAAAATAAATAAATTAATTCTTCATGAATGTAATATGGTTTTAATATATTTGAAGATTAATTCTATACTTATTTTCTCCTTTATATAATATTTGCCAATTTTGTCACAAATAAAATAATGCATTATTTTCATTATGTGATACAATAACTATATACCATCTACACTAAATTATGTCATTCTATAACATACCCTATAAACCACTGTATCCTTACAAAAATAAAAATTAAATTTATTGTTGTAGCTATATTCGTGTAAAAATATTGGACAATAAACTTCACCTGATGACATGTTATATATTTTTATAAAATAAAAGTAAGTTAAATTTTATATGTATTACATAAGTATATTTATTCATGTATAGTGTTAATTATATTATCTAAATAATTTTTATTTTTCCTAATTGTTAATATAAATGGTTCATATCCTATATTTGTGCTTATATATTAAAAAAATTGCAACTTAATCTTCAGAATATTTATTAAATTTTTAATTTATTTATTCCATTGAGCATTTAAATTAATTTTATTTATAATAGAATTAATAAAAATTTATAATATTATATTCATTATAACATAACAAGAAAAAGCAGTATATATAAGCATGCATACATTATATATACATTAAAAACTCTAAATATATATAATAATAATTTAATTAATATGGTTCACATCTTGAATATATGTAAAATAAATTTATAGGATCCTTATAAAAAATAATTAATTTAAATGTAAAATAATTATATAAAAAATTACATTATATAGTTATATATAAATATTATATATCTTATATTATTATTTTTGCACTCATCAATAATTTACGGATAAAACATAAAATAAACAATAAAAACGTGAAGTATTCATACACAATTAGTAAATTATCAATAAATCCAACTTTGGAACTTCCATTTTATATATATTATACAAAATAAACATATCTCATGATAAGAATAATTTTAATAGAATCCAAAATAATGTAAAAACATTGGAATGGCAGTTATAAACGTACATGCAATAAATTAAAATACATCATTTATTTCATAATCATAACATTAATGCATAAAAAACATCAAAAAATTTAATAAAAATTGATGTAACCAAAAAAATATATAAAAAACAAATAGTAAAAACAATAAATAAAATATAATTTATCATAAATAAATAAAAGAAAACTCAAAAATAAAAACACTGAATCCTCTAACCTGAACCCTAAACCTAAATCCAGACATATACCTATACCTAAATCCAGAAAATTGATCTTTAGTCTTGAAAACTCTATACTGAAATCTGCACAAAAAACTCTAAAATTGGTATACCAAATTCTCTGAAAACATATCAGAACATGACAATAAAATAATCTGAAACATACATAATTATATATTATATCAGAATTTAAAAAATGTAATGTATAAATATATAAAATTGTAGGGAATAAATTAATCTTATAAATATTAATCTAATTAGTTGTTACTCTGTTTAAGTAAATATTATACTATAACATATTAGATGAACAAAATATGAAAGTAAATTATATATAAAATGAGAAAAAAGAAATAATAATACTATAAAACATATTAACAAATTAAATGTTATACAAAAGTATGACAAAACTGAGGATTAATTTAAATGAAAATAGTTATTTGTTATATACACATAAAATAAATTTTGCATTAATAAAAATAATATGATCTAATATAAAAATGTTTTTTTGCATTATTTGTATTTTTGTTTTTCTTTTTCTTAACTTTATAAAAAGTAAGTAATTTTTAAAAATGAAAACTGTATAATTATTTCCTTTTTTAAATAAATGTGTAAAGGATAATTGTGTTATATTAAATATATGATTTTAAAAATATTCAACAAATATAAACTTGCTTTTTATAATTGTTTCTTTTATTTCATGTGTTCATTTGGATTATATTTTTAGTAAATCATACAAATAGTTTAATTCAATTACACACAACATTGACAAGATATAATATTCAAGTTTTTAATTAAGACATTCATCTAATTTTCCTTAAATAATATTCAATAGTATTTGATTATTCATATAACATGTTTTCTATATACTACATATAATAGTTTTATGTAAAATTACATATACTATCATAGATGTTACAGTGTTCAAAAGTTAATATATCAGAATATTTAAATGAATTCTATGATAAAATGTCTCTTTTGTAAAAATATATATAGATGTGTTAATATCATTTATATTTCTATATATATATTATCTATTATATAAAATATTACATTATTTAAAAATTCTTAAATCTATTACATAAATTAAAAATAAATTATATAACATTTAGAACTTATTATAGGAATAATAATTTAGTGAATTTATTCACGTGATGTTTTTCTTTTTAAATTTTAGAACATTCATTTTAAGATACCCATAATAATTTATAAAATGTTGTATATTTAGAATTACTGACGTTTATCTAATGGTTTTATATTTTGTATTATGCCTAATTCCTGCTTTTTTTTGCACACAAAATAATGAAAGGATTAAAATTGTATTCTGCAATCTGATACTTGAAATATATATGAAGATTATAAATTATATTTATGATATGCTTTAAAGAAGAACTAGATTAATATTTCTATTCTTAATAAGTTCATTGTAGCGCTTTACACATTTTAAAAAATTATATATATATGTGAATATAATACATTGAATTATTACATTATTTTAGGATATTATTTTTTTTTTTTTTTACGTATAGTTATTATCAATTTCAATTAAATTTTATTTTTACTTATGACAATAATCCTTAAAATATTATATAAGACAAATATCTTTGTTGCATAGAGTGACATTAATATTGTATTACAATATAATATATTTTTTAACAATTAACAATTGTACATATTTCATTTGTACATAGATATTTTTATATTACTAAATTAATGATAATCTATATTATTTTTGATAATCAAGTAATTTAGAAATTCACATAGAATATCAATAAATTTTTATTTTAATTGTACAATATTTATGATGCATGTAAAGAAGACATAATATAACTATAATAAAAAATTTTATTTTATTGGTAGTAATGTAATATTATATAAAAATGTATTCACTTTTAATTTTACAGGGATATATATATGGTTTAAACTATATGTTTAGAAAATAATTGCTTCAGAATATATATGAATATTCATAGTATCGTATTAATTAAATCAGCAACATCCTGTCATTTTAAACATAAAAATTCAAATACATTAATTTTTATTGTCTGTGTATAAAATGTGTATAATGAGAAAAAAATGATATTTACATTTAAAAATATATTTTACCAATTATATAAGTGTACAAAAAAAAAAAAAATGCATCATATTTCAAATTTAATATCTTATATGATATAATACATGAATATAAAATTCATGTATATCTTTTGAAATGAAAATTTATGAAGATATTAATAATATGTAGAAGTGAATATATTCAATCCTAATTTATTTTAATATGTAAGAGAAAAGCTATATTTATATAGATTATATGTGTAAATATTCATAAAATATTTTATACAAAATTTTTTTATATGTGTATCTGTTGGAAATTTTGATATATCAGTAATTTTATGAGCACTTCTAATATGAAATAGTGCATGCATTCTGTAAAATTATTCAAGATATATTTGATAAAATTAAAATATTCAAAGTATTAATAATAAGTTATAATATATAGATAATTATATAATTTTTCGTCATCAATAATTGTTATATTAATTATGAATATATGAATACTTTTGTATATATATATGCCCTTATTTATGCGATTAATCATTTATATTCAAAATAATACAACATTTTTTTTATAATTTTGTGGTAACATTGTAAAATTATCATATTATTATTTTATGAAAGATGAAATAAAAATATTATGTAAAAAAGTGCATTTTTAACGTAATTCTTATTTGAACTATAAGATTTTTTCATATGGGTTATTTACTGTATATATTTTTTTTTATGTATATTTTCAATAGTTTTTTATATGATTAAAATAAATAAAAATTATTAATATCTACAACATAAAAACATTTTGTAAAAGGGATAAAATAATTGACATCATAACATATTCAATCTTTTGTGTATATAATATGTAGATTTACTTTGTAACATCTGGAATAATAAATATATGAACAAATATAGTTTAAAGTTACAAAAAAATGAAATTAACAATAATGTATTTATTTAGATGATCCTTTTGTAGTATTATTATACACATTTAATTATATAAAATATTATATTTTTTATTCCTTACGCGATAATACTTAAATATTTTTCCAAGAAAAAAAAATTGAATTATTACATATTTCGAATGATAGACATAATTTGCCCTTGTTCATATAAATACTATTGATGTCTACATGCTGTACATATTTTTTACAATTTAAACTTTTTTAATGTGTCTTTAACTAAAAAAAACATTTTGTTTATGAATCACATATTATATATTATACATATAAATAAAATCTATATATAATAATAAAATTATAACTATATAATTCTTATATCTTCCTAAATATAAGTCTGGTTATTCTAGAATTATTGTTATACATGTATAAAACTAATTAGATATTATATATTAACCCAGATGTATAATTTAGATA